ATGGATTTCTATACCAATTCTCAGGCCACTTAGCCATCCATCTTGTCCATAATTTTACTCTGTGCAATAAATAGTAAAAGTATGAAGCGCTAGGTGTTTAAAAAAATCTTCATTCGAGTTCCTTCAACTCGAGTTCAAAATTGTGATGATTTCAGAGCATATTTAACCACACAATGTAACGGTAATAAAAGGGAAAAGATTTTACACTGCTATATAAAGGGTTGCCGATAAGTATTTGGGAATCCGGGTGTTTATTTCACAATTCAGCACACAGTTTCTTCATTGGTTGTGATACTATCCTATTGCATTTTCCCCCTCTTCTTGATCTACAGCTATTTTGCATTTGTTTTATAAAGGAAGATCCACTTCAATCGAGAAGCGATCGCGCGCCTGCTTCGTAGCGCTTATTCCAGTCGTAACACTTGGAACAAATACCATTGAGGACTACTTAACGACAATGAAACTCTCTAGAGGAGATAAGTTTGTCAATGTGAAGCCGATGAGTAGGCGCCCTTATTCTATCAACTCCACGAGGGTTTGAGCATTTATCAATAAGAGGATCGAAGCAAACGGTGATGCGAGCATGACCTTAACTGCGGATAACCTTGAAATTGTGTTCAATTTCTGATTAGTAACACCCGAAGACTTCGTAGTTACCATCTGCATCACGGGCAGCCTTTGACGGATGTTGTTGAAGCGAATGAAATCAGATGGAATGAAAGGAGCCGCTGGATTGTATGCGGTGCGCAGCGCGAGCAACGTTGTCCGCTGCAGTTTTCCGCACGGTTGATCCACGCGCCTTATTCCGCCACACAGTCTATACAGCTCTTGAGAGAGGGCACATGCACAGTCGTCCGTCTGGGTAATGAGCGTTGATCCAGGTGCAAAGCATGTTCGGCTGCGCACAGTGATCGACATATCAATTCACTGAAGGTAGAGGAAGGGCGGGCAAGAAGTTGTGCTGCGCAAAAGGAACTGGCTCATGTACGAGGAGGAGGCAACGAAGTAATCAGGACGACGCGGGGCGTTTGGAGCACTTGTCACTGGCTCGACTAGCTACCGGTATATCAACCCTCACTTTGTGAAACTGAGACTCTTATGAAGCTTGGGGAGCCCAGCTCGTCGAAAGCCAAGCGGGCTATCGACTCTTGTAGCGTCCGTTAACAGGCACGGTCGGCGATGACCTATGAAAATGCAATAGGCTGTGTGGGAAGGTAGTGCGGTTCGCCCTGTGCTAGTTCCGCGGCGGAAAGTTGTACGGCAAAGAAATTAACGCAGAAGTTGCTCACTCTGCTTTTTCCAGTGTACCGCGCTTCGACTCCGCCTCCAAAGTCGGCCTTCCAGCTAAAATCGTAATGCGGGCGGAACTAAGTTATGGTTGTGGAGTGCATTAAAGTGTTTGCGTGTGTGGGAGTCATAGGCTCATTAGTGGGAATGCAGCCGACGGGATATTGTTCCAGCGCGCGATCTTTTCGGCTCTTTTATCTCTGACAGCGTGTTTGGAGGCTATAAGGAGCCCTAACGAATGCGGTTCGCCAGCGTTCCCATTTGGCATTTACTGGGCTTCATAAGACAATTCATTTGAGGACCTTTCTCCTTGTTTCTGCAACATTACTTTATTGCGACCGTGCCTTCAAATAGCTCTCTATATGGCTCGACACTTCAATGGGAAGTATTAGGTTGGCGGGAAAGTTCTGTCACTTTTTTCAAATTGGGCTTTCTTTTTATAGAGAGGCGTGTAAGATCAAAATTGTACAGCAATGCTACTGCGGGGTCCTTGCCTGTTTTTGAGCACCTCATGGATGCCATCGCTTCACAATGCAGGAGGCGCGATACAAAGTTGGACATCATCTCAATCTTGGCTTGAACTCAGACTTTTCGAGGTTTTCTGGTAATTTCTCGTCCACCAGAAGCATTTGGAGGGGTCGGTGGCGATGGTAGCGGATAACATTCTTGTCCATATTGCAGAAGAAGAAGAAGCAGGAATCAAGCGAGTGGTACTAATAGAAAGACCACTCTTTGATGTATAAGTGCTCACATTACCGTTCACCCCTCTTCAGGTAATGGGCAAATATTTGAGTTCGAAAAAATGTGACAGAACTTTCCCGCCAACCTAATAGCAGAAGTGGTTAATGCCCCCCCCCCCCTCCACCTGTCGCCAAACTGCGGTGGAGGCCATTGATCCGGCTGGTTTTTTAGATACGGGAAAATTGTGTAAAATTAAATTTCCACGACTGTACCCACGCAAACATGGTAAACAATCGGTTCTCGGCACTCTGGCAAAAATCGTTAATTCGAATTAATATTCATCGACATGTTACGAACTTCTGCAACTCTTCCCACTCGATGGTGTGGTTTACTACCCGTTCAGGGCCCTCAGCGTAAAAAGCGATTGTTCAGATCGGCAGCGATCGACTGAGATTATTAGAATTAGAGAGACTATTAGAATTCGAAGTTCAGGCTCATTGGTTCTTGCAGGCTTTGTACATCTTCTTCCATGGCCTGTCCGTCCCAACCTTAGCCCAACCTGTCCAAGTGGCTGTTTAGGTGAAACGAAATTTGCGGACAGAACAGAAAGACTAACGGAGAAACTCTCATAAACAGACGTAGCAAATTATACATAGAAGGGATTTCTAAATCCTGAAAGGCTGGAACAGTGGCCATGATGCCAACCCCATATAAAAAGTGGAAATTAGGGTTCTAATCAGGGAACCACCCAGGAGAATGAGCGTTACCGGAACTTTTGGCGCGTTTACTGCTTGTCGAAACCATCACGATGCCCCCAAAAGTATACGCATTTCTCCATAATCTTTGAGACCCAATTTCCAGGCGCCCCAGGGGGTGGGATCGGATGACCTTTCACAATGAGCCAACGGGATATCCGAGATGAAAAAGATTGCAGTTCATTGTTGCTGATTGTAATTTGATTATATTAGCAATCATCAAACGCTTGTCCTTATATGAAACCTGCCATAGCTCGTTGTGATGGACCTCGGATAAACACAAACGAACTTCAAAGAAATTTGTGGCGGATTCCCACCCAAAAGGCACGTTCCCCACTAGATTTCATCCTGCAGGTGGTTCAGCGCTAGTGTGATTGATAGAGTAGGGGATACGTGTCATGGCCATAGCAAAAATAATGCTTAGGAACATTATTTGGTTAAGATTTTTGCATCCTCAGCCTCCTAATGACCGCGCTGACGTAGCACTGGAGGTTCACAGTTAAATACTTCTTTGGTCTGGACTCATCACGCGCGTGGTTTCAGTGTCAAATCCCGGATGAGCACCCCTCAGGCCAACCAAGCTTTCAACCTTTCGTCTGCGGTAATCTGGGTACCAGTTTCGCCTGGGAGGATAAACAATAACCTGCACATCGGCTGGCCGTCTCCGCTTTATGGCTGCGCCTTTATTAGGCTACCGAAATCCGATATGAAAAGTGAAATGCATGTAGAATCCCCAAAAGGTGGTTTAGTCGAACGGGGTAACGGACAAAGACAATCGTAAACTGCCAGGCCAGTCTTCGGGGAGGGCTCATATGGGAGTGCGCGGCGGCGAGCTCTCGACATAGCGGTAAGTTTATCGCCTGAAGCAAACCCAAACTCATTGGGCAATTCAAGAGAGCTGAAGACAGGTTCTGGTATGATATCAAACTCTCTTCGTGTAATTTAACATTATGAGAATTGCGTAGGTTTGCCATGAAACAGCTCGTCCTTTCACGTTGCGCGGCGGGGTCTCACCAAGCGGCGTTATTGCGTCGTCGGGGTTACATACTCGTTGATCAAGGGGCAGGAGTGGAGCCGTATCCTGATTAATGTTGCGTTCACATATACTTATGTACCGAGGAGTACTTAACTATTGTCTGTGAGGCTACACTATGGGAAACGTTGGATCGCGAGTCGGTCAGGGGTTTGTGAGATTCACACTTTCAGAACGACAACTTCCGCTTGAAATTTGTTCTCCGTCGCCCTACACCAGGACAATTCACAAATTAACTTTGGAAAACACTGGACTCTTTGGCAGTACAATGGACCACTAGATAGTGCGAGCTGAGTCAAGATCCGATGAATATACAGTTCCTCAATTCATTGCGGACCGGTGTCGCGGCGTGTCAGCTGCGAGCTGGCGTATTGACGCGGCTGCCAAAGTTCTGCACCAGCTTGCTGAAAAGCGGCTCAAGTGACATTACTGTATTGCATCCTTCGAGTACTGGTTTTCTACACTTTTTGTCGCATACGCGTTTCAGCAAAAAGGCTGAGAACGGCTTCAACAGTGTGCACACTCATACTGGCTGACACGCCCCACCGGTCCGCAATGATGAGGACTGATAAGTACGACGAAAGGTAGCGACATGGCTAGTATCTGATATGTAAATACAGAGTAACATACGTGTAACGCAGTGTGGACTCTGGTTATCTGAAGTGTCTGGGAATACTCATCATGGTTAGAACGGGCCGAGAATGCAGCATCGTCCCCTCTCCAATCTCCCCCCCCCCCCGCCCTTTCCCATCATTCCGTTGTTCTCGAGGAATTTCAGAGTGAACTTCTTTTCTAGAGCTTTAACGAAGCTCATTCTCGAGTTTAATTAGGAATTTCTCGGTGCATGAAGTAAAAGAAGCATTTTCTGGTTTTGTATTTACTGATCTATATAGTTTACTTCATAAGTGACGTGAAATTTTGTACTATTTCTTCATAACAGTTACACAAGGAGAGTTCCTCCGTAACTTATAAGTGGAAGTCTTTTCGATTCAGGCAGACACTTTGAGTTCCTGTTTCCTTACACTGAAAGTGTTATTGGCTGCGATATGACAACTAAAGCGATACAGCCAAGACTTCATGGCAGATCCCCTCCTCCCCTTCCCCTCCCCCTCCCCCCTCAAGATAGGAAAAAAGAGACGTGGAAATTGTTGACATTCCCAGGTTGGAGTGCAGGAAAAAAGTGAATGAGGAATGAGTAGAAATGAAATAAAGAATGAAATTTCGAAAGAAAACCCACTTTGAACTCAAAAGCCGAGGTTAATCTTGTCTCGTACACCGCTCTCCTCGGCCAACCTTCCAGTGGTGGAACAAAGAATTTTCAAAATTGCAATGCTTGTAGGATTGAGTTCATGGGCGTCCAACGCGTGCTTTCGTCCTGAAATTGTTCCAGAAAATATTCAGAAACCTAGCTTGACAATCCTCATTTTGATTCGCCTTGATCCAGTCCTGGCACACGCGTTGTGAAAAGACAATGGAGTCGTATCCGACTCCCGGACAGGGAGCGAGGAGCGCGTCAACAAGCTACGCGGCAGGGCAGCGTTCCGACATGATGACCGCTACGTGCTGTAAGCGCTATAACGCGCGACGACGCGCGTAGACGCGCCATCGCCGAGTAACACCAGTAACTTCAGCCATTCCCAAAACACTAGTGCCCACACCAGATGTCTGATTAGGCAACGCCTACCTTCCTATTACGCTATAACCTCTCAAAACACAAACGGGCGTCGCCAAACAATACTCGTCTGCGGCTGAGTTCTCGTCCATGGGTTCTGAGTGGTAGCGCGTCATTGCGCAGTCTGACGGCTACCTTACACAACATCACTTGCTGCCTATGCACTACTACACTACACAGATGGTCCATTCATTTTTCTTGAAACCTCTGAGGGAAAATCATATTTCATACCTTTTCTGAGCCATTCGATTCGCTCTTGGTCTTTCTCTTCCATGTTACTGATCGCATAGCAGACTTCAGCACATTTTCGGTGCCATTCAGCTTTATCGGCTATCGACTCACCTATCTGTAATGTTTATTTCTGTCACACTTGTTGGTGAAAAGCCGTAGCATAACTTTTGACGAGGGAATAAAACTCAATATATCCTTCCAGTCCGTTCAGAATTTCGTTTTAGATTTCGAAAGGAGACCTGAGATCAGCGTCAAAAAGTGGTGGTGTAAGTCTCAACACAAACGGCAGCCTCGACCTGGCGTCCATCCAATGTCAGTAAACCTAACAGGAAAGGAACTCATACAGTAAAATCAAACTCACGACTTGGAGCTTTTTGTATGCTTCACGGCAATTGTAGCAGTCAACAAGCTCGTCTATTTCTCGATAAAACGACTGAAACAAAATCGAAATAATCCTACTGTCAGTGGAGTTCCTCCATTATTTGACGAGTTGCATGTACCTATTTTCTGTGAGGCCGGAAAACGCCGACAGAAATATTAGGTTGTCCGGAAAGTTCTCAGCGTTTTGAGTGTTTCACTTTAAACGATCATAACTTTCTTAATACTCATCGGATTTATCGAAATAAGCACCGTTCGAATCAGCACACTTTTGCCAATGTGACACCAGTCAATAAATCCCATCAAAGAAAAAAACTGGGTGGTCGAGAATCCACGAAATCCCACGAAGGCTTTTTTGCCTGGTCCTGATTGATGAAGTATTTTCCAGCAAGGAAGTTCTGAAAATGTTTGAAAAGGTGATAGTCGGTTGGTGAAAGGTCTGGAGAATATGGCGGGTGAGGTAGAACTTCAACCCCAATTCGTTCAATTTATGGATAGTGATTTGTGAAACGTGTGGGCGGGCGTTGTCATGCAAAAGAATCGGACCCTTTCTGTTGACAAGTGCTGGCTGCAGCTGACGCAATTTCCGGTACATTTCGTCGATTTCTTCACAGTAGGACTCTGCTGTGATGGTTTGGCCTGGTGACAAAAAGTTATAGTGGATCACACCAGCCGATGACCACCACACTGTGACCATAATTTTTTTTCGTGAGGATTCGGCTTTGGAAATTGCCTCGGTGGTTCGTCGGCATCCAACCACTGTCCGGAACGTCTCCCTCCTTCTGATACGGCCGGCTTCGCCGCGCGTATTTTCTTTCACATATTTCTAGACTCAACTGATATCCGCCTTTTGTTCTGTACTCCACTTTTTTCCGGTGTCTGAAGTACTCTTGAGCTATTTTACAGATTCTTCGTCTGACTCCGCCCACCTCGGAGCAGGCCCCGCAACCCAATTTTTTTGCCCCACAATCTTAACCGACGACCCTCTGCTGACCTTAATCCACTTTTTTCCGGTGTGTGGTGTGTTCTGGAACCGTTCTAGAGAATTTTTGTCTGGCTCCGCCCACCTCGGGCTGGCCCCGCCCACTATATGTTCCTAACCCTCATTTCCTCATCGCGTCCCCGTTGCTTGACTTGAATTACTTTATTCCGGTCTTGCGGGGAAGTGCTCTGCGCAACCGTTTTTACAGACCCTTTTTGTTGGCTCCGCCCACCTCGGAGCAGGCTCCGCCCACAATTTTTTTGCCCCACAATCTTAACCGACGACCCTCTGCTGAACTTAATCCACTTTTTTCCGGTATCTGGAGTGTTCTGGAACCGAGCTACAAACTTTTAAAATGAATACCCTGCGATTTAGGGCAAGCTCCGCCCACTGTGGGCGGGTCTCAACACACTTTGAGCGTGCCCTATATTCGCCGGATATTTACATTCTACACTGAGTTTTTTGCGACTTCCAAACACTCTCGCGAACCGGGTTACTGAATTTTGCGAGAAGCACCGCCCACCTTGAGTACGCCCCGCCCATTTAGGGTGTACCTGCCACAGTTAGTCTGGCGACTCCTTACTAACCTTAGTCCCTTTTTCCCCATCTTTAAGCTGCTCCGGAAGCGAATTATGAACATTTTTCTGCGGAACCCCAAACTTTCGGCGAGTGCCCCGCCCACTGTGGGCGGGGCTTGCCATAGGTCAAGTGTGCTTTTTATTTCTTGTCCCATGCCCTACCTATCCCCACCTTGACTGGACCTCTCCAAGTCGTTCTTCAGGTCGAACCGAATTTCCGGACAGACAAACTTACAAACTTACAAACTTACAAACTCACAAACAAACAAACAGACAAAGCGAATTGTATAATATGGGGTGATGATCACTTTTCATCACAGGTGACAATTCGGTCCAAAAACGGGTCGTTTCTGTTGCGCAAAAGCAGTGAAGAAGAAACCTCGAGACGTGCCAATTTCTGCCGGTCACTCAAATTGTGGCACACTTTGTAGAAATTTTTCCACAACTCCCAATGCGTTTCAGACCATCCGCAACAGTGATTTGCCAACGCCTAGCTTTTCTTTTCTGCAATCTCTCGAACTGTTTGGGATGGGTCAGCCTCCACAAACGCCAATCCTCGTCAGGTATTGCTTTAGGTCGACCGCTACGAGGTTTATCTTCAAGGCTGAAATCTCCAGAACGCATTTTGTCGAACCATTGTCGCACGGTGCTTTCTTCAACACTATTGGGCCTTCCTCATCGAATCGAGCCGTCGAGCGGGGGGGGGGGGAGAGTGGGAGGGTATATAGTACGCATGAAACAGGAAAATCACGAAAAGTCAACCACCACTCCTAGAAGGCCAAAAAGTGAATACGACCCCCCCCTCCCAACAATGAGCAAGTACGACCCCCCCCCCCTTTACAACGTCCGATGAAGCGAGAAAAATCAGCTATCAAAAATTTTCCCAGCCCAATGCGACCCCCCCCCCCCCCCTTTCTCCTGGGCGGCCAAATACGAGCCCTCCTGCTTGGGGATACCCCAACAACGAAATGTTTCGGCCTGTCAAAAAGTCTTGGGGAAAAGGGGGTTTATCAAGCAATGGTAAAACGGCATTATACCATCAGATAGCGCAAACAGTCCTCTTCAGGACCTACTACTGAGACGAAAGGGAGAATGAGTTTTTAATCAGCAATGAATGTACAAAAAATAGTAACACAAAACGCTGAGAACTTTCCGGACAACCCAATACAAACGGGGGTCACAAAGGGCAAAAAAGATACATGCAGTTATGATCCTTGTATTCAGTAGGGCGTGTGAGAGATATGTAAGTTGGAGCGAAGCCAAAGCAGCTTTTCACGCCAATTGTTGCAGACCCAGGAAGGCATAATTGGTGGAAAAGGCGTTCGGTCTTCCAGCTATCGCCCGTCACACCTATCGTTTGCAGCGAACACAGCTGAGTATTCATGATTACATGCACTCAGTGGAAGTCTGATCTTTGGATCTTCAATGTAGCTTGTCACTCACTTTGACAAGCTCCATGGAAGATCCAAGGTCAGATGTCCCGTTGACGTTCCCCCAATCCAGAATCATTCCCTCCACGGATGTCTCCACCGTCTAAAAAGGTAAATTCTTATCACAGCGTCGTCAAGCTCAAGGAGGCCTACAGTATTAGCATAGCGTTTCCTCTGTGCGTTGCTCCACTGATAGTTCTCAATAATAAGGGTAAAGAATAGTGGGTGCACTTGATGGGGAACGCTCTCAACAGGCGCCCTGCCCCATCCGGTCACAGTGGAATGTGTCCTTTGAGAGAACAGGAAGACACCCTCTTTCCCAGCATAAACTCGTCAGCTCTGGTGAACAATGCCAAATTAATTCGATCTGATACGGCGATCCCATGATATTTCTCTTAGTAGTATTCACGTGGGAAGCAGACGACCTTCTTAGACAGGCGTACTTTTATTATTATTGTTCGATTGTTAAAAGATATTCCTAAACGTTGTCTCGGTAGAGCACAGCTACAACCAATGTTGGTTCCTGATATAGGGTACAGCATCGTTGGGAGAATCTCATTAGGGGGTTTGAATGGCTTTGAGAAACTTTTTTCCAGTGTCGATATTCCGTTGCACGCGCTATGTATCTTTCCTCTCCGACGGCCATTTTTTTTCGAAAGGAGAACTCCAGAAATATTGGTGATAGAGTTTGGACGACATTACCAGGGTGGTAGTAGGGTTGCAGAGAGGGGGTCGTAATGCCATGAGAAATCTTGAGGGGGGCGGTCGCACGTACATGTCAATTTCTCCGATTAGCTGCTTTATGGGCCTGAGCCTTGTGGACTAAAATTCTGTTTTTTTTTTTGGTTACTAAGACAGCAGTACTGTGGTATCCGAGCACTCCCCCCGATTCCTCAGCTCTCCATTTTAGTGCTAGCTATCAAAACGGTCTAAAATTTGCACATCATTTTCGCATAGAAAGTTGGTTCTTTTCGGGATCACTAAAATGGAGAGAGATCCATTAGGAGCGAATGCTGCGAATTATAGCGTCACCTTGCCATTCCAAGTGAAGCTTCTGAAAAAAAGGGCCGGCCTTTGGAACAAGCAGCAGCTGTCATCCAGCACGGTTTGTGGCGTTCTTCAGTTGATACTGGTTTCCGCAACGAGTCAGATGTTTTGGTCTTGCATGTGAATGAACTACGGCGAAGAGGTTTCACATCTTTCTACATCGTTTGGACACAGGACTAACAGGACATCCATCAGGACTTCCCTCCAGCGACCAGATACAACGCTGGTTGGAGAGCGGCAACAATCTAAAGATGAGGAGTCCGTGGCTGCGTACTTCATTCAAACGTGACGGCAAGTGCGCTTTTGAAGGGATATTCCAGTTTCAGATGATTTACAAAAATGCCTTCGACTAGTACAGGGTAGGGTAATACTCTGGGCACTATTTATCCTTTACTGCCCCAGTCCTCTGGAATCTGGCCAGTTTTTAACCGACTTTTTCTCCGTGTGCAGAAATTGGCTAAAAATTTGTTCCCTGGGCTACTTTGGCCTCCTGAACATGAATACCACACGAAACCTTTAGGCGCCCACGTCACAGGCACCGGCGCCAAAATACCCTAGCTCACCAAATTCGCTGAAAACTTGTTCCCAGGGGTAGTCTGACCTCCTGAACACGAATATCACATCCGCTCGGCCCGAAACCTCTTAGCGCCCGCGCTGCATGGCGCCGGCGCCAAATAACCCAAACCACCGGCGCCTGTGGCGCCGGACTCAGAAGGTTTCCAGCCATGCGGATGTGATGATATTCGTATTCAGTCAAAACTACCTCAGGAAACAACATTTGAACCAAGTCTGTCCACAGAGAAAAAAAAGTACGAATACAAAAAGTCAGAGAAAAAAAATCCATCAAAGCTGACTCGATCCGATGACCGGGCAGTACTAGCAGGTAGACAGTGCTCACTTTCTGTCGCGTATCCAACGAACAACGCAAACTACGCTAGGTTAGAGGACTACTCTATCGGTGTGATGTGGAGTGTACTGTACCACGACGAGTCGCTGCGTTCAAAAATGACTTCACTGAAAGATCACCACAACGCGGTTCTTGAAATGCCCCCTTCTTGCGAATTTCCAATTCGTCGAATGTGCAGAAGAGTGCTGAGGAACAGAGAGGTAGTATAAGCTGAAACCCGTGACTTCCCAGCTCGGAAAGGCTAGGGACAATGAAAACCCCAACTCCTGCATATCCAACCCTCCTTTCACGGCGACGCTCTCATGCTGTTACGCATGAATGTGAACGCTTTTCGCTGGACAGGTATGGGCGCCCCTGGTTTGAGAAACAAAAAATTTGATCTAAAAAGATAAACTAAATAAATAAATAAGTAAATGATTAGATAAATAAGTGAATAAAAAAATCAATATTTGAAAATTATATCACAGCTTCATACAATAATGTTGTAATCATTAGAAAAAATATAAAGTACCCTAAAATCCCATAGATAAGAGCGGTTTGATTTACCGGTGAAAAATGAATTGGAATGAAATTGAAATTGAAAGCAGTCACCCCTCTAACTTGATGGATGGATAAATAAAAATCGGAGAAGAAGTTTAGAAGAAGCTCCGCCCCTCAACTCCAAACCCCGCCCACTTAATAAACAATTCATATAGAAAAATAGCGATTTTAACGGAATTTCTGCCGGAATCTCTCTAGAAATGCCGGAATCTGATTTCTGGATAGAACTTGAAGAGCCCATTCGATCAGTAAAATTCCATAGATAAGAGCGGTGTTATTTACGGGTAAAAAATGATTTTAAATAAACATTTTTAAAAGTTTATTTCACAACAACTAGCACAAACCGCCCTTATCTATGGACCGCTCTTATCTATGGGATTTTAGGGTAATTAGATCACGGGCGAGTGGTGTGTAGTGACAAGTGGCGCGCTTACCACTCGCGCGGCGCCGGGTTCAAATCCCGGGTCGACACCCGCCCAGGCCAACCAAGCCTTCTACCCCCGGGGACGGTAAATTGGTACCAGATTCGTCTGGGAGGATAAAACACTGACTTGTACATCGGCTGGCCCCGCAAGTCATTGTATAGGCCACATCGCATTCAATAAGCCACTACGATTCTGAATGGAAGTAGAATGCGTGCCGCATCCCACAAAGGGATTGATTAACGGCGAAGACTTTATCCTTTAATTATATCACATTAAAATCACATTAAGAGTAATACTGGCGATAGGCCATTCATTGACATCTTTTTGAAGGAGCGGAAGAGATGTTCAGCGTGGAAAACACCCCGCAGTCCTTCGTTCGACCATATTAATTACTTCTATATGAGTGAGATGCACAAAACCCGAGTTACGGCGGCGCGGTGAAATTGGCGCTGCAAGATGCGCCCGTGGGCTGCTTTCGCACGAAGTTTTTGTTGATTTGAAGCGAAGACTCCTGCTGACAAAGCTGTGTCAACTAGCTAGGAAAAAGGCGCATTAGTTTTTACATTCGGCGATAGCCAGATCTCCCGGCCTGCGTCACCAGTCAGCTACAGAAGCACCATTTCTAACAATGTATGTTCAGGCATGAAAGAGATGTTCGCAGAACAATCGAATAAACTGAATGCAAATTTAAAAAACGGATTCGAGATCAACATTTTGAGAATCAAATTTGGCACTGACATCTGCGACCACGCCTGGACATATAGCGGAGACAGGGCCGAACATTGAGTAACATTGCCAGCTCCTCAGTCTTGATGAGGAGGGTTCACCACTCGATGAGCCAAACTCTGCCGAGGATTAGTATTTTAGGCCGGTGCTAGAGGGGACTCTGTTTTGCCGTGTCTGAAAGAATTTTCCGCATTATATTCTTTTCCCCATTTCATGCACCTACAAGAAACCCCTGTTATGAGGCGTCAGAAGTAGCGCTTCTTATAGCTAATATAAGGCGTCAGTTTCACCTCACCTCCTCACAGCCCTCCCCCTGTGGCCACTGTGAAGTGTATACACTGAAATTTCTCAGGAAACTAAGGGCGTACGGAAGTCTTCTACCTATTGAAGCGGAAACAAACGCGTGAGTTGAAATTGAGGTTTTCTGCTAAGAGGCTTTGAAAGCCGATCGCCACGTGGAACTTCACTGTAATCAAAAAATTGTACGACCGGCGGTTTTCTAAGCATTTAGTTTCCTCTCTCTCATTGCCCAGCGTTTTCCTTCTGCTGTTGGAACAAATTAGTGTGTCGGCCAAAGATTTATGAGCATGGAACGAAGCCTCTATTCTTCCGCCGACCAGGGCGCACGGCGCTCTCGATGGGGAGAGGGAATCCCCCATCGAACGCTGTCTGCCCTGTGTTCGCGAGATTATACACGTCGACGAAACGACGAAACCGACGTAAGTGACGTAACCGACGTTTTCGACGTCAGTCGATACGTATCTAATCTTCTGTCGTCGGTTACGTCGCTTACGTCGTTACGTCGGATCGATACGTATATAATCTTCGCGAACTAGTCGTCGAAAACGTCGGTTACGTCGCTTTCGTCGGTTACGTCGACGTTGACGACGCCGTCGCACGGTATGAACGCAGCCTTAGGGAGAAGGGTAAAGTAGCTCCGAGTGGGGTGAAAGCTTCACAAAGCCGGCATTTTCCTTCACTTCATGCCCACCAGCGTCTTGACAAACAACCCTTATTGGCCTTTGATAATAAAAGCATTTGCAGTGGTTTGAAATGCCTGAACCATAGCGCTCCAGTAGGTTTGACTGGCTACAGGGCTTCTATCAGAAGGGTGCTCTCTCTCTGCAAAGGATAGAGGTACTGTCTCATAGCATCTGATCTATCGAAGACTTGAAGCCGCGAAGAGAATAAGAGTGAGGAGAGAAGGGAGAAGGTGAGGAAGGAGAAAAGAAGGAGGAGGGAGGCTTCGTGGTCAACAGACCATGCTTGACTATCAACAGAACCAGCTTGACTATCGCCCCCCCCACCAGGCGCCAGTTTGACCTCCGCGAAAAAGTTTACAGCCTAAAGTAAACGGCAAAATTTTACAAACTCACCTCACAATGGTGGGCACCATATCGGCTAATCGCAGATGATAATTGGAACACAATGGAC